TTAAATGCTTTTTCAACATCTATTGAAACAATCATGTGGTTTTTGTCCTTCTTTTTGTTAAAAAGTGTATCACATTGATTTATTTATTAATATTGTACCATCGTGCATCCCTGGAATAAATCTCACTTGATTGTGATGGATGATCTTTTGATGTACTTTTTAATTCAGTTTGCTAATATTCTGTTGAGGATTTTTGCATCTATATTAATCAGGGATATTTGTCTATTATTTTCTTTTTTTTTACCTCACAAGCAGTGGAGCACTGTTCCTGAGAGATTTGGGGCAAGAGTGACTTTTAGAAGAGCATGGAATCAGGGCATGATTGGCTAGGAGGTGGGGATTTTCTTCCAAGCCCAGCAGGTCCTATTTTCTAGGGTAAGGTGAGCTAGCTAAAGCTGAACTGGAGTGCGGCAACTGGTATCTGTTAGGTCTTCTTGACAGTGAGGCACTTCCCATTAGTGAAGCCGAGTCTGGTTTAGATTTGTGACATGGGCCAGGTCACTGGGCAGCTTCCGTGATGTGGGTCCTGACACAAATTTACTTTATGAATGCCTTAAAACAGATTGCTTACCAGTTAACTATAAATCACTTTGGAAGGCAAAAAGCAGACCACAAAACAAGTGAAGAAACATAGATTATATTTGGCTATAACTGTGTTTCCCTGAATTACCTGTTGGATTTGTTTAAATGTTGCTGGGCCTGACCCCCAGCATTTCTGATTCTTGGGTCTGGAGTACAGGTGGCAATTCGCATTTCTGATACATTCTCTGGTGAGGCTAATGCTACTTGCTCTAGAAAACATACTGGAATTCTCTGGTATGGAGAGTCAGGAACATACAAAACCACCTAGGAGAATGTCCATCACATGTAGGCATTCAGCAGAATAAGCATACCAGGAATTTACCAAAAGCAATAAAAGAAGAGAACTATCTAAAAGGGAGATTGGAAAGTAACTAGGACCCACCAGCTTTATACTCACAGCATTGATGTGCATCAAACCAATTCCAGTGATGTTTCTGGAGCCTGCAGGCAAAGTGAGCACAACTGGAGCCTCTTCAAATCGGATAGACATTCCTGATAGTCCTAAAAGCCCAGACTGGTATCGTGAATTCTCCCAGAAGCTGCCCCAGTGGTAGGATTCAAAGTCCTCCAAGCTCTGTTTTGATCTACATTCTGTCTTCCCTAAATGTGAGTCCTTAACTATGTTTCTGCGGTGGTGAAGTCCTTCCAGATCTAGAGCATTCCTGACCTTATGCACTCCTTGCTGCCCTTGGAGGTCTTTATGCCTGTTTTTTTGTCTGAGTTATCACAAATGCATAGTCTTTTATTTTTTACTGAAGTATAGATGATACAATCTTACATTGGTTTCAAATATACAAGACAGTGGTTCAACAGAAACATCATTAAATCCTCACACCAAGTGCAGTTATTATCTGTCAGCATAGCTGGGACAGAACAATTGGCTATACTTCCCACGCTGCCCTATGATCCATCCCTGTGACTAACTTAAATTATGATTAAGATTGTTGTGCCCCTTCATCTCCCTTACCACCCACCTAACCCAACCCCTCCCCATAGTAACCACCAATAACTTCTCAGTGTCTGTGAATCTACTTGCTGTTTTGTTCATTTTATTTTGTTTTGTTTTTAGATTCCACAAGTGAAATCATATAGCATTTGTCTTTCTCCACCTGGCTTATTTCACTTAGCTTAATGTCCTCTAAGCCCATCCATGTTGTTGAAAATGGCAGGATTTTTATGGCCCAATAATATTCTATTGTGTATATGTACCACCTCTTCTTTATCCATTCATCGATTGATGGACAGTTTGGTAGCTTCTCTATCTTGGCTGCTGTAAATAATGTTTCAATAAGCATAGGGGTTCATATATCTTTTTGAATCAGGGTCCTTTTTTTCTTCAGGTAGGTTTCTAGAAGTGGAATTACTGCATCATACAGTATTTCTATTTTCAGTTTTTTAACCAACCTCCATACTGTTTTGTATAGTGGCTGCATCAATTTACATTCCTGTCAACAATATAGGAGGGTTCCCTTTTCTCCACATCCTTGCCAACACTTGCTTTTTCTTGTCTTTTGGATAGTGGCCAAAGTAACATTTTGGATGGTGTCCTTTGCTGTACAGAAGCTTTTTAGTTGCTGTCGTCCCACTTGTTCATTTTTTATTTTGTTTCTCTTGCCCAAGATGAGTCCAGAAAAAAATGCCCATTCAAGAGATTTTTGCCTATGTTTTCTTCTAAGAATTTTATGGTTTCATGTCTTAAATTTAGGTTTTTAATCTCTTTCAAGCTTACTTTTGTGTATGGATTTAGACAGTAATGCAGTTTCATTCTCTTACATGTGGTGGTCCAGTTTTGCCCACACCAGTTATCGAAAAACTATCTTTTCCCCATTGCACATTCATGGCTCCTTTATCATATAGTAATTGACCATATATGTGTGGGTTTATATATGGGCTCTCTATTCTGTTCCATTGTTTTTTGGTCTGTTCTTGTGCCAGTATCATACTGTTTTGATTACTGTGGCTTTGTAGTAGAGCTTGAAGTTGGAAACCATAATAGCCACAGATTTGTTCTTCCTTCTCAGGATTGTTTTGGCTATTCAGGGTCTTTTGTGGTTCCATATGAATTTTAGAACTATTTGCTCTAGTTCATTTAAGAGTGCTGTTGGTGTTTTGATAGGGATTGCTTTGAATCTGTAGATTGTTTTAAGCAGGGTGGCCATTTTAACAATATTAATTATTCCTATCCAGGAGCATGAGATGTATTTCCATTCATTGGTGTCTTCTTTAATTTCTCTCATGAGTGTATTGTAATTTTCAGGGTATAGGTCTTTCACCTTCTTGGTTGGCTTTATTCCCAGGTATTTTATTCTTTTTGATGCAATTGCAAATGGAATTGTTTTCCTGATTTCTTTTTCTGCTAATTCATTTTTAGTGTATAGGAACTCAACAGATCTCTGTGTATTAATTTTGTATCCTTGTACATTGCTGAGTTCAATTATTTGTTCTAATAATTCATCGGTGGAGTCTTTAGGGTTTTCTTTATATAATATCATGTCATCTGCAATAGTGACAGCTTTACTTCTTCCTTACCAATTTGAGTGCCTTTAATCTTTTTATCCTGTCTGATTGCTGTAGCTAGGACTTCCAGTACTATGTTGAATAAAAGTGATGAGAATGAGCAACCTTGTCTTATTCCTCATTAGAGGAAAAACTGTCAGCTTTCACCATTGAGTATGACATTAGCTGTCGGTTTGTTGTATAGGACCTTTATTATGTTAAGGTACGTACCCTCTATCACCATTTTGTTGAGAGTTTTTATCATAAATAGACCTTAAATTTGGTTAAATGCTTTTTCAACATCTATTGAAACAATCATGTGGTTTTTGTCCTTCTTTTTGTTAAAAAGTGTATCACATTGATTTATTTATTAATATTGTACCATCGTGCATCCCTGGAATAAATCTCACTTGATTGTGATGGATGATCTTTTGATGTACTTTTTAATTCAGTTTGCTAATATTCTGTTGAGGATTTTTGCATCTATATTAATCAGGGATATTTGTCTATTATTTTCTTTTTTTTTGTAGTGTTTTGTCTGCTTTTGGTAACAAATTCATTTTCTATAAATACTTAAATAAGATGATTCTGCTACCAACATGAAGGGAATATCTTAAATAATAACAGTAACAATATCATTTTCCCTTTAGCAAATCAATTTCCGCTTATATTAAAGGAATAATCATTGATTTATCTGCTTGATTTATTTTTATCTGTTTTTAAAATAAAAATAGAAGATGCTAAATTCTGGGATTAAATAGATTTTCCATTGTCCCACCTCTCTGGTCAGTAGATGAAAGGTACCAGACAAACACTCAGTTTTTTTAAGGTGTTATCTCATCTGACAGAGACTAAGCACCATTTACCTAGTTGTTTTCCTCATATTGATCATAACAGCTATGAGTAGTCCTTGGAAATTCCCTGCATGCAGATACAAAAGTATCAGTATTGGCTATAGTCTGGGGAAGACATTGGACCTCCTTATGAAGAGACAGTCATTGTTCTTTCATGTTACTCCAAAAGATAAGAACTGCATCATCTCTTTGCTAAACAGTAGAAGATAGCAGGAACCAGGATGTTTCCAGCCTAAAGGCACATTTTTACATAAAAATTAAAATTTGAAATAAACAAAAGGAAGGAAGCAAGCAAGATTAGGAAGTGAGAAGCTAAAAGTTTCCATCTAAGCATAGGGAAGACAGTCAGGATAATTAAGAGATGTATTTAATTAAGACTCAGTTGAGAGCACGGCTGTAACAGTTTTTCAGGGATGAGAAAGACTAGTAACTTAATGTCTTATCACATGGACGCTGTCTTTTCTCCATCCCATTCTGGCTCACTGGTTGATACTGGTAGGTACAGGCTACATGCTTTCTCTTTTAGAGCAACCACATATGTTTTGGCTTTAAATTAGCATTTCTTAGTCTTGGATTGAAAGAAGTATCAAGAACAAAGCAACACCTGGAAAATAAAGGCTAAAATCTCCTTTTTCTAGGCTGTTCTTAGGTAACTTGCATATTTTTAAAAGATGAATTACACAACAGTCAAAAATTTCAATGAAGCATGGTGCAGCAATTCTGTGAGGCTGTCATTAAAGTTGATCATTATGAAAATTATTGGGCAACATAGGAAAGCCAAATAAAAAGACACTCAAGTGATATAAGCACTGATCTTAACTTTGTTAAATAATATATAAGCATGCAAAGAACTAAAGGTATATTACACAAAAATTAAAATTAAATCCCATGTCATAATGAGTCATTCTTCTATTGATATGTACCATCTTTTAGGTAGCAAAACATTTGAAGTTTTATATTAATTTCTTTGTATGGAATCTTTAATTTCTTTCAATGTCCACAGCATCAAATAGCTAAAAATTTATGTTTTTGTGTGCCTTTGTTCTGTTTGTATGTGTTTTTCTCTAGGAGTGGAAACTCATCAATGCCAATCTTCTCTACTGGAGGTGGACCATTTGTAAAATTAAACACAGCACCTAATGGCAGCTTAATATTAACACCAAGGTGGGTCTCAAAATATGTTCTTGGACTAGTTGTACATGGACTGGAAAGATGATTTTGAAACCAGTCAGATTTTAATACAATCACATTGCTAAACATAGAATTTTAAAAGTTATTTAAGTTTTTTATTATTCAGGTCATCTCAAGAAAAGATATAATTGATCCTCTCAAAAGAATACATAATTGATTCTAGCTAATAATATTGCCTAATCCTCATATATATATATATATGGTAAGGCAGCCAAATGAGATGTTACATACATAATTGTCTGGCACACTAATAGAAATCCAGTGAGTTTTACTTCCATACCCTTTTTTCCTTACTTTCAGATTTACAAACAAGTAAATCCCATAGAAAGAAATTGTGAGAATCAGGATAAATAGGTCCAAAGCTGATCAGACTAAAGACAGCTACACAAATTAACTATCATCAAAAGAGAAGAATGAGAGGAGAAAGTCACGATATTTTTTTTCTTCTTTGGCAAATAGAACAGTAAAATTAAGTGAAGATTAAGTAAAGGAGTCCAGACTTCTAGCTGTGTCTACATATTCTCTCTCTTTAAAATTAGGTTCCCTTTTATAGCTTTTACAAATGTTTTTAAAGGCACCATCTTTCCTGTATTCAAAAATCTGTTTTAGCTTAAATTATGTCATTTCTCCTGTTTGGACATTAATGATCATTTTTGTTAAAAGTGGCTTCTGGATTTTACAGTTCCATTAAAGGCCAGCTGTGGGTGGAAAGAAAGTAATTTCAAGAAGCCATTATTATAGACAAGGACTTGAGATGTCACTGCTGGTGTATTTGCTGCTAGCTTTTTGTTTAACATACTTAATGGTGAAAATGAAATTATATAATTATCCAGCTATTCATGAGAAGTTATTTCTGTGAGCTCCACAAGTAAAACAAATTGATGAAAGAGTATTTTCTTGTACCAAAGAACTTTGCAATTGCAGGTTTTATATAAATGTCTGCCTTGCCTTGACTGATAAGTTTTATAGGGAGTGAAGCAAAGCATCTATAAGTGAGAAAGCAAATGTCTAGATTTCCTTTCTATAAGGTATGTCTAAATTTATATCACCATTATAGATCTTGAGCAGTTTGTACATTGAGAATTTATTTTATTTATATCATATAGATATTTAAGAATGATAAGAGAAAGAACAAAGGAGAAAATAGAAAAAAGTTCTTCTTAGTTATATGCACATTTCAGAGCAGAACTAAGTTATTCCATACCTATCAACAGAATGCTAAGATTATCTTACACTGATGTGCCCATTTTATATATGTTCATGCTCTTAGAGAGACACCATTTATAGACATAGATACTTCGCCCTTTCATCACATCAGCAAGTCAGGAATGTCCTCAATCTCTTCCTCAATTAACCACATTATACTGGGTTGGCAAAAAATCAGACATAAACACATTTATTTATTTAGTTAATTTATTTATGTATTTATCTGGAGATGATTACATTTATTGCCCCATGAAAACTGGTGCTTTTGAAAACAGTCTTACACTAGTGGTTTAAATAAAAACAGGAAAGGAAATAAAGAGGATTCCAAAGACGATAATTCTTTCAACTATGAAATTCTACTGACCCATATTTCCATTTCCTTCCTAATGTGAGACACTCAGACTATTTCCCATCACTGAGAAAAAGCCACTTAATATAATACTAGCAATCTGACCTGATAACTGGACATGAACAATTCATGCAGCTGCCACTACTAGACTCCCCTCTCTTCCAGTTCAGCCCACTTCAGTAGTAGTCCTAGAAGTCAAACAAAATTTGACTTATATATTGATTAACTTTGGGTTCTAGCATGGTACTAGATACAAATACACAGTGCTTATCAAACACTTTATGGAATGCCTGTCATGTATCAGACACTGTGGTAGGAATATTACAGAGGTTATTTCCATGCAGAAGCTCTACAACTTAGGTAGTATTGCTCCACTGTAAGGATGAAGAAACAGAAGCCTGGTGTTGATACATAACTCGGACAAATTCACAAAGACTGTAGCCAACACTGAGATTTTTAACCCAAGTCAATCTGACTCCAAAGCCCTCTACTTTCCCATTCTACTGGGCTACTTTCTAAATTCCCCAAGGCAACAGCGCAGTTTAAATAACAGTCTGGAAAGGAGAAAGAAAGAAAAAGCATAGCCTTTTCAACAGGAAGAAAGGTCATTTATTTGGGTGTATGTTGGGAGAGGAATTAGTTCATTTTGTCAACACAATAGATATAAACCCATAACAATATTACTCCACTGGGCTGAAGGAAAGACATAGGATCATAGTCTTATCCTTCGTCTTGTACAGAAGGATGACCTAGCTCTGTCCAGCACCAAAGGCCAGGACAAAAATTCTACTTCTCTCCAACCTCTCTAAATATACCTGGACAAAATGTGGATTCACTCCTCATTCTGACCAGAGAGTAAGCAATTTGCTCTTCTGTTCTGAGACACTGTAAGTATGCCTGAATGAAAATTTTGTAGGTATGAAGATTTTGGCTAAATAAAATGTTAACCAGGAACTTTCCTGTGCTTGCTAAAAATAAATTCATCAGTTTTATACATACCACAGAATATTAAGTATTGTTTAATACATAAGTATGATGAACCATTTTGAATATGGATTTTCATTAATGAGTACTACAGATGTTGAAAAAGTTTGGGTGAAACTTGACAGTATGTTTGGAAGTTTCCTAGAAGCTGATTTTCTCCCAACCATGAGTAGATAACTGAAGGGGAGTTAGCTGAGACTTTGTTCTTTGGGAAAATTATGAATACATATTGACATATTTATATCTAGATAGTTATACATAATGCATGTTGATCATTAATAAAATGTAAGTATATTTCCTTATATTTCAATAGAAATTATCTTCAATTTTAAAGGCTATATGAATCAGACAATATGAATGCACATGCTTTTTTGTTGTTGTTAAGGTATCATTGATAGGTAATTTTATGAAGGTTTCACATAAGCAACATTGTGGTTACAACATTCACCCATATTATCCAGTCCCCCCACCATGCCCCATTACAGTCACTGTCCATCAGTGTAGTAAGATGCTATAGAGCCATTCTCCATGAATGCACATGATTTCAAATAAATCTTTTCATTCATGTTCCAGAAACACTGAATTACTTTGATTATACTATGATCTCATGTGGATCTTCAGTTTTGTGTTTTTTATTGTTTTTCCCTAAAGTTTCAAGCATCTAAACAGCACGCACTATAGATGTAGTTAAATATAAATCACTAAATTTTTGTTTGTGTGTGTGTGTGTTGTAATGTGACCAGTATTTGCAGTAGCTGCATCAGGAAATAGTGGGGCATGCACTTTAATTCCTTGTATTATACTGTCCTCTAGTGGTTAGTAAGTATGACACATTTTTAAATAATTCTGTTGAAATTTTTGTTTAAAATAGAATTCTTGGGTTTGAAAAAAGCCAGTATCCGAATATTAAAACAGATAGTTTTAAAATTATTTATCTCTGCAATTTATTTTATATTTTCCTATTTATGTTTACCTTCCTTGAAAGCCAGACTTGTTTCATCATTGAATTTCCTGGATGAAGCTGTCAGCTTAGGCATATTCTGTATCTTAGAATGATGAAATCCAAGGCTGGTTCAAATGAACTTAACAGTAGCTATGATATACTGAGTGTTCATTGTGTGTAAAACACAATAATAATTCCTTAATCTGCCTCCTTAGCATAGTAGGCAGTGTGTCAGTCTCATAATAATAATTCCTTAGCAAATATGTTTGTGCTTCTTACAAAATTTCAATAAAGTAAGTACTATTGCCCCCATTTTATGGATGACAAAACTAAGTCATACAGATATTGAGCAACTTATCCAAAATCACATGAAGCATATGTGGTAGGGTTAAGAACTCAGACTCAACTCTATTTGACTTCTAACTGGGGACTTTTCTGCTGCGCATTTCCAGCCCCTGGCATTTGATATGCTATACTTGCATTTAAAAGTCCATTTTACTACAAAAAAAAAAATTGGATAGGGTATACTGTTTTGCTTCAAAATATTAGATGCACATTTTCTGAAATTTATTTGTTCTTCTATTGCAGTAAACAGTGTTTACAGGATTCACTGATTCTGTTACAGTGTAACCATAAATGTAAGTAAATATTTTGTCACATTGTCCCTTCAAGCATCCAGTTTAAAACTCTGAATAGAGTTGGTGTGTTACCTTAAGTTATTTTTTAGTGATCCACTTAGTTTTCATGACCAGAGGAAATCCACCAAAATAAAACAGATGCTCTTTCTTCCATTATTTTAATAGCATGTGGACAAAAACTGGTGGCTCAAAAAGTCAGCCCAAAGATTGTTGGAGGAAATAATGCCCAGGAGGGAGCCTGGCCCTGGCTCACTGCTCTGTATTATAACGGCCAGCTGCTCTGTGGGGCTTCTCTTGTCAGCAACGACTGGCTGGTGTCTGCCGCCCACTGCGTGTACGGGTAAGTGTGACATCAGTGTCCCTTGCCAAAGGAGATGACCACAGCAGACACGGCTTTCCATTTCATGCAGCCTCACAGAACCCCATCTCATCAGGGAAATGTTTTGGTTGTTTGTGACATCATAATCTTTCCAATCATTTCCCCATTAAGCTCATGTATAAATGTAAAGTGCAATTAAAAATCATTTTTCATTGGATACTTGAATCAAATATTATGTTTCCTACATATCTAAAAGTTAACATTCTTACCAATTAATAAGGTAAGCATTTTTAAGGTGTAAAATTAGTTTTCAATGTATAAATTGTGTGGTTATCATTTAATTAGGCCAATATTTATTGTCAACAAATTGTATCAAAAAAGCATGTATAGATAGTCCTCAAATTAGAAAGAAATTGTGCTCTAGGAATTCATGTGTAGGACTTTGTTGTGATTAGGATAAAAATGTTTACTTAGTTCTCAAATCAGATCTGTTTTGATGCTACCTGTAACTAAAACTTAAAACTAATACCAACCATATCTAATTCTTTCTTGTTGTTACATAATATGACAAAATACATGTTGGCTTCTAGGATTTATCTTCTTCCACTAGAAGGAGCCATCCCCAAAGCAATGCCATAGGAGAAAATAAATATTCCTGTGCCCAAGAATACGTTCTCTGCTTCTGCCTGAAAGAAGGCACCTCGTTAAGGAATGCATTTCAACACTTCTGAATTAGGCCAGACAAAAGGTAGCTTTCTCATAGACGCTCTACAGTCCTGACATGGAGTGATTTCCTGTCCCTAATTGAACAGAAAAGGCCACCAGAGAATGACCTTATCTGTGAGGTTTAGAATGAGCCTCTTTGTAGCAGCATCCAGAATCTCAGGGAAAAACCATGTGCTCAGGAATGGAAGATGCAGCCATAATCATATTAAAAGACTAATTCCCACCAACACAGACAGTGAAAGTTCTTGGATAGATGGAGACAAACTGTCAGAAGCACAAGGGTGTGAAGGCTCCTTGGGAGACAGGGAGGGTCAGGAGGAATGAATATTAAAGGCTTGATCCTATACCTAAATACCCAGCAGACTACAGAGAACATAAACTCAAACTCATGACCCTAGGAACCTGGAAATGAGGACCCTTGGCCAGATTCCAGCTTGGCCAGTTACCTGGGCTCCAAAAGGACTCTCCAAGATGAAGCTACGGCTAAAGCTCCCGGATTCTCTGTGCTGCACCCTGTGTCCCATATTTAAACTGCACCTTCTTGACTTTGCTGCATCTTGATAATTAATTATCTTTTAATCTGTTTTCAAACATACTACAATGAATATCTATAGCAGTCATTTTTCCCATCCCTATTAGACATGACTTTAGCCTTCACCTGTACATACTCTATGCCTTAAGCATGTCCCAGATGGCTAACCTATACCCTGCGTTACATGTAAAGGCATCTTTAGCTGACGATTCAGGGTATTTTGTTGTACCTAAGTAAGTCTTAGAAAGTTAGTAAAGTTACCAAATCCTGTATCACTCTCAGATTTGGTAATCAGTCTGTTTGATAGTCTTAAAGAACACATAATTTCTAAATGTACAATGAGACTTGCAGTAATATTAGTGACATTTTTCGATTTTCTACCATACAGAAGTACTTATTTTAGGTCAATAATACCAGTATCGTATCTTTCCAAACCATGAATATACAAAGGAAATAGAAAAGCACTTTCACCTGATACAAACACATGTTCAGTCATATAGGACATAAAATGTCTTTTCACACACTTTCAATTTGAACACAAGTGAACAAATGTAAGCTGTACTGGAATTGTGATGAATTCAAACTTACCCTTACTAACCTTGCATTTTACTCTCCTTAGCCACTCAGTGGTATTCTTCTTTCTCAGTTGCCAAGAGTTTTTTTGCTTTCTGCTTCTTATCTCTCTCTAACCAAGAAAGAAAGTTTCTGATATTATTTCAGATGTCATCAAAAAAATATTTTTGCCAATATGCTACTTCTGCCTGTTATTTGTCTTTTTGAAACCCTACTTGTGCAGTGAAAAGCTTAATTTACTAATAAAAAGAAGAACCCAGATCAAGCAACGTATTGAAATCATACTGCACAAATGACTTGTTCTCATTGTAAATCTGTTACATTTGTTTTAACCTGCAAGTGGTTTCATGGTTTAATGGGACAGCTCTTTTCTGTCTACATTGTTATTGTTCACAATTGCATTCCCATTCCTCAGCCTCAGTGTTCCTGGAAGTCATTAAATTTCCCTGGGCCTGTTCTATTTCTCTATCACTGACTTTTCTTCTTTTCCAACCTTAAAAGAGAGATTTGGAAAGTGCAGGCCAACTTTGCTGTGGCTTAAGGCGAGGTTGACCTTGAACCAAAAGATAGAATTTTGATATTACCTATGCTACTGACCTCATGTGACTTAGTATCTCCATGTTTCAGGGTGTCCGTAGGATATCTACCTCCAACAGTGACTGTCAGGACAAAATTAAATGCTGCAATACTTTTAAACACTGGGAGTCATACCTAGGAGACATTCAACATGCTTATTTTTTAAACTTTTCAAACTCAATTTCAAACATGCACAAAAATGGCCAACAAAAAAATACAGAAAACTCATATACCTTCACAAAGACTCAGCAATTGTTGACATTTCATGCTATGAAATCTTTCTTGTCATTCTTTCACTCTCTCCAATCTGGAGAAATTACTTCTTTTCTAAATCATTTGATAATTGGGTTAGACATTGTTCCCTGTATTTTTACTAAGAGCTAAGATCTTTTCCCATATAATCACCGAAAATCATGGAAATTTAATATTAACACATTACAGTTATTTAAGCTACAGAATGTATTCATTTTTGTCAGTTGTCCCAAATATGCCCTTTACAACATTTTTGGCTTGTTTGCATATTTGCCACCCAAGAACCAGTCCAGGATAATGCACTGCATTTAGTTGCTGTGCCTCGTTCATCTTCTTTAATCTAGAAAAGCCTGTCAGCCTTTCTATCTTTGTTTTTCAGCCTTTCTTTCCCCTTTGCCTTTGGTTTTTTTTTTTATATAAGCAAGTTATTTTATAGAAAGCCCTTATATCTGTGGAAACCCTTAAAGCTTGCTCCCTTATTAGCCTGATAGACCCCCATTCCCTGAGAACTTCTTTACTTTCCAGCAAAATAAGATGTTGCAGGTTCATCTTGAGCCCTCCCTGCCCTGGCCCCCAAATCAAGCTTTTTATAAAAACACCAATTCCACTTAGCTAATTTGAGTTCCTTCTACATTTTACAAAACAAGCTCTCGTGTGCTCCTGGCTATGGGTGGTGTGTGCTCTTCCGGGTCCCTCTCATTGGACACAGCTATATACCTACAAATGTGAACCCAAAATGATAGGTCCAATTCAAAGAAAATACCACAGGGCATATTCTAGTCTTTTCTCCTTCCATATTTGTAACTCTTGTCTCTAATAGGATAAACCTTGTTTCTATTATCCAAAAAATATTTACATATTTGCTCAATCTTAGAATAGAACACAAAAAGTGGTTTGAGAATTACTAACCACACCACTGTGCAAAGCAAACTAAGCAGAATTTAATAATTTTTTTCCTTTTTTTTCTGCTGACTTGTAGCAAAATGCATATTTTTAAGTGTACAATTTGATGAGCATTGAAAGTGCATACATCTGTGTAACCCATACAACCATCAAGACTTAAAACATTTCTATCACCTGGAAAGTTCTCTTAGATCTCTTCCTGGTCAATCACCAGCCCTGCTTCCAGAAACAACCACTGTTCAGTGTCCTGGGTGGGAAGCCATGTACAGATTTATGGTCTGGATGACATCCATTGAATAGACATATATCAATGATGAAATTATTCATAGAGAGGCCTATTGCCAATCTTCCATTCTTTGATTTAACTCTTCAGGGAAGACCAAATGCATCATAATTACCTTTTGAAACAGTTCCTTGAAATAGGTGTTAGCAATCCTGAAATAGATAATTTCATATAGGAGGTGTTTTTGGGGTATTGCAAGAAATATACACTACTGTTTGTGCTTTATTAAGTGCTAAATTAATTAAACTGACATAGCTAATAAAGTTTTGAGGCAAACTTTTTAAACAGCTAGGCATTAATTATAAAATAACATTACTTAACTGATATTTCTACTACAACATAAAATTTAGAGTCTTTCAATTGCCTCAAACATTTTAAATAGAACTAGGATACTGAATATAAACAAATACTGTAATTAGAAAATTATTCCATTTCTACTTAAACCTACTCTAAAATATAAACATCATGGGTTTAATTTGTCTATTTATCTACCTATTTTTATGGCTTCAGGAGGTTAGGCTAATAACTAATATATTATCCCCTATAGGTTGCAGAGATACTATAATGATAATACAAGATACAAGATAATAGCAATTTCTGCAAATCAAAAAGATGAAGAGCATTTCTTAGGCCAGTAGAGGTTTCAAGATTATGTTAGTGATGTTGGTTTATGGTGATGATAGGTCTTGGTTCCTTTTTTAAGGTATTTCAAGTTTGAGCTGCTGGTTATCCTTTTATTAAAATTCTCTTATTGTATCACTAGGACATTTTAGATTTATACGTTTCTCATAGGTTTTATCAAGTTCCACTCTGATGTGTCTCCCCCTTAAAATCATATATTCCTTACTTAAGTCTCCTTTGGTGCATATTATGTAACCCATTTCCTTCATGCTATTCTTTCAGCATTATTTTAATAACATATTTTTTTTTATTTTTACTCTCTTTACCCATTTCACGCATCCTCCCTCCCCACTCCTCTGGCAACCACTTTAATAACATGTTTCTTATTAGCAGGTATCTCATTATAATTATTAGTCCCCTCAGAAGGTTTTTTTCCTAGAAGTCACAGAGAATTTCAGATCCCTAAAGTTACTTCTACTTTAAGAACTAATTCATCATCTTGAATCACATTATTGGATCTTCCTTTTCCTCATTTTACCTGATGGTTTGATATGC